TGTCTTATCTGGTGAAGGGGCTTTGCAGGTGTGATATACTAAAGATTTGAATGGAGAGATTAGACTCATTATCTTAAAGGTCTAACTAACAATCACAATTGTCCTTTGGTAGAAGATGGTAAGACAAAGAAAGAGGAGACTGCAAAATGAGTGAAATGACTGCAAACACAGAGATTAGATTGATGTTGCCACAAGCCAAGGAACAGTCACAGAAGATAGAAAAAATAAGAGGAATTCTCTTCAAAGCCATCAGAAGGAGCACGTTGGGTCAACACCTTCATTTTAGCCTCATAAGACACTGAGGACTTGTTCTTTACATAACTACAGGGGAATAAGTTTGGTTTAAATGATTAAGTGGGAGGGTATTTGTTACACTGGCAATCTGAAATGAATATATTCTGCAGCGTAGCACTGAAATGGACCTTGAGAGGATTTGAGATACATTTACATGGTTTCTTCATATTTGGGAATTGAACAATGTGATTACTTGTGAGGAATAATTCTCTTTTCCTGGTTTAACTATTTACCACTTTTTAAAAGAGTTTTTTTTTTTTTAGGACAAGTCCCCACTCCTCATTTAAATTTTTGACCTTTTTTACTTATAAACCCAGTTTTGTTAGCAGCTTCATGTAGAAGTGCCTGATCTGGCCCAGATTTTAGGACATTGTCAAAGTCTAATTAATTTTAGGAAGTAGGAAAGGGAACTGGGGTAAAACAGAGGCCAAGAGAATCTTCAGTGGGAAAGGGGAATGGACTTGAAAGAGTTACAAGAATTAGTGGAGGTGGTATGGGTGAAGTTCTCAGTGGTATCTGCAGAACTCAGTGGTCATTTTTACTTTTTCTGAGAAAGGACTGTTCCTGGTTTGAGTTATTCTAATGAAATATACCATCTTTGAGCCATTAATGAATAATATATTCAATGAAGGCAAGAACAAAGCAAGACAAACACTCCCTGATTTAGAGTTGGAGTGTTGGGGAAAAAAACAAACCATAAATTAGCACAAATTTTAGTAGTACAAAAGCTCATGCTCGTTGTATCAGTAGTTTTGTTTTGAAAAATTTTTAATACTATACTGATTTTTATAAACAATCACTGTAGTGATTATAACAGTACCTAGTAGAGGATTTATGTAATAGAGCTTTACAGACCCATTTAACATTTGCTTCATGGTATGGTGACTTTTCCATCCAATTGTGCATGACACAAAAGAGCAAAAAGAGTATTGCTCTGTAAGTTATATTCTAGCAAACAAATGCACAACAAAATGGGACAAATGCAAACAGCCATTAATATGCTGCTCCTAGCAAGGAGAATGTGAGCGACCACTTTGCAAACACGCATTTGTTTTTGTTCCCTACGAGTAACACTTCAACAAAAGAGCTTTCTTGTTTGCCAGCAGTCTTTCTGGGATTGTTAAGTACACACTGTCAAAAAAATTTCTCCTTGCTTTTTAATAAGCAACAGAGACGGCCTTTTTCCTTAAAACCTGTACTATAATACAATTGCCTCATCAGTTTGTATATAGTATTTCTTCTGCACTGAAAGAGGGTCATTTTTCTTACAAAGATAAGATTACATTGATAATCATGTGGATCATCAAGACTACAGCCTGTTACTTGGCAGGTACACTAATAAGCTGAATAAATGCATTTTAACTGTTGTACAGTCTTAAAACAAATATGTGGAGGGCCTTGGAAATAGTACGGCACTTAGGGTGCATGCCTAGCCTGAAGGTGACCTGGCACTACATGTCCCCAGAGCATGGCTGGATGGAGCCCTGGCAGTCCCCAGCACCACTGGGTACAAGCAGCGTTGCTCCCTTAGAGCCCTTGCATTGAGCTGCTGGTGTAGTTGGCCAGGATTCCAGAATCACCGGTGGGGGCCCTGGGCCTCCTGAGAAGTGCTTGGGAGTTCCCCATCCCCTCTCCCCCAAATAAAAAGCATGCATGGGTAGACTGTGGTTAGCAGCTTCCCCCAATTCTCTCTTTCCCGTCTGTTGCTTCTGTGCAAACAGAGCATCTGCAAAGTCTTGGGGGTGCTGACTAGACATCGCACACCTTAATTGTGGTAAGCTAGAGATAGCACATTTTTGTTGGGGCACAATGGATCGCAAAGAACAGAGCAGTTGGACTTGCACATGAGCATGCAGGGTGGTGCTAGGGATCACACTCTCTGCCTCATGCTCACAGGCAGGTGCTCTACTGCCCCCAAGCCTGACACCTTTACTCCGTAGGGAGTGCCTTGTATTCAGATCAACAGTCAAGTTCTGCACAAGGGAAGATACATGAACATCCCAGAAGATGAACATTTAGTTGGAAAAATGTGCTATCTATGGAGTTCTGAAGCTCCAGACTCTACATGGATTCTTTATGAGGCAATAGGATTCTTAGACTAAACACGAGGTTTTCTTTGATGGCATCATAACAAATGTGCAAGAGGTGTGAAATAGTGAGCACTGTGGAACGTTTCCTAAAACAGATCTCTCATCTCCCTGCTTTGAGGCCCTCTACTCATTCCTAGAGGCAACATAAACTATGTTAGCCTAAGGACATGTTCCGTATTTTTCTCCAAGGTTAACTTTGAAGGCAAAAGCAGAAGTCAACTGCTACAGGGTGGTTATCTTCCGAGTCTAGAAACTGGTAAGAGTCAAGATATCATTTATCATGTAGACAATGGGCCATAAGGGTTTTTTTTTTTTTGCTAACAGCAGTCCTTTATCTTACTTGCAATATGCTTATTTATGAAGAGAAGAAGAAATAAAAGCCCAAATGTTTCCTTGATATATTTTTGCTGTTTGATATATTTTTGCTAATAAGTTTGGGAGGCCTAAGGCTAAAATTAGTTTCAACCAGTGGTTCAACAGGCTTATGGAAATTTATCACCTCCAGGAGGCTGGAGAGGTAGTATATTGGGTAGGGTTCTTGCTTTGCATGTGTTCTACCCAGATCCCCAGTGTCCCATATGATTCCCTGAGCCCTGCCAGGGGTGTTCCTGGAGCCTAGAGCCAGGAGTGAGCCCTGACCACAGCCGGGGGTGACAATGAAACAAACAAAACCCAACACACAAAAAAGAAATTTCTCATGTCTGGTACCCAGGTCAAAATCTCTTCTAAATTTACTGTGTTTTACTGAACAAAGTGCCAAGAAGGAATAATCAAAATTGCATCTAATGGATTACAACAACTGAGTTTAGTAGCTATTTTATCCCTTCACGTTTTGTAGGAGGAGAGGGAAGACCTCTCCCAGAAGTGCTCAGGGGATATCCTGGCTGCACAGGAATGACCCCTGTGGTGTCAGGATGCAAACAGAGGTCAATTGATGCAAGATAACGGCCTCCTATATGACCTATCAACCTGTCATGCCCCTTCTAGTTAGCTTTTGCATTAGCAAAAGCTCCTCGAAATCTCTTCAGATGGCATTTCCTTATCTGTACAATGGATCAATACACTCAGGCTCTGTACTAAATGGGAATACTTTTCCTTAATTCTGCAAAAAAAAAAAAAATCAACCCCCTAAATATCAAACCCTTTGGTCATAGGAATTCTCATTTTTTTTTTTTAGCTGAGAAAACAGGTCGACAGTGGTAGAAATCCCCCATATGGCTTAGGAATCATATGGTTCCTGAAATGGCTGTCTTGCTGCCCTCTCACCTGCATACACATGAAGAATTCCATTGCTATCTAACAGAACTGTCGGCCCAGGGAAACTTGCCTTTTGGACACTTGTTTCTGAGGATACAGAAAGAAGTCGCCAATTTAAGTAGGAAGCAAAACTCTCACTCTTAAAAAAAAAAGCTATTATACAGTCGAAGTCTGTATAAGTTTAAGCATTTCCTCCAAGCTCCACTCTAAACTTTACTGGAAGGAAGCCTGACTTGCTAATGTAGGTGAGAGCAATCTTTCATCCTTGCTGACCTTGGGTGAAGGGTAGCACTTCAGTCACCTGAGTCTGATTAAAGCAGGTGTGGTCCGTTGTATACTTGTTTATAGCCTGAATCTAAAAAAAAAAAAATCCTTGCGTGTTCTAGAACTGCCTCTCTCCCTTCTCCCCGCCCACAGTTTAAAGCTATGTATAGTGAAATCTCAGTGTCAGTTTCCAAATTCAATGCATGTCTCTGCGTATTGGTAATTTTACCTCTTAGAGTAGAACCTAGGATCACAGATACTAAATTCCTCCGGTGTTTTAAGAGCACTTTTAAACTTTATTGCAATTTATTTATTTATTTTTTAGAAGGGTGCTGGATTTGTGCTTAGCATTAACTGTAGTCAAAGCATGCAGAGAAACGCCTAGCTTCCTGAACGTTTGCAGCCTTCAGCTGCCGAGTCCTCAAACTTTCTTTTCTCGTGGTGGAGACCGAGAGCCCATCGGTGGGACCAAGCCTTCGGGACGACCCCCTGGCGTCCGTGGGCGGGGCCTCTGCGTGGTCCAAGTCACAGGCTCTGCCTTTGCAGTTTCTGGTGCTGAAGGTGGGAACGGCTGCCCCGCTACTCCCCAGGTCAGGACGAGCCTCCCCACACACTTGAAGCCAGCCCGCGGTGCGGAACCTTCAGGAGATCGCTGGGGAGCGGGACGGCAAGTGCCGCGGGCTGCCACGCCTCCCACGTTTCCACGCCGGCTCACCGACCCCGGCGGAGGAGGGGGGAACAATCGGGCGCTCGGGCATTCTAGCACGGAGCCCCGCTGCTCCGCGGCACCCAACCAGGAGCCCACGGAAGCGCAGAGAACTCCGGCCGGGGCTGCCCGCGCCGATTTTCCGCTCCCCCGGGCTCGCTCTTCCGCCCGCGCGGCCCTCGCCCCCGCCCCTCCGCCTCCGCTCACAGGAACCCGCCGCCGGGCCGCTCCCGCGCTTCTCCCCGGCCGCCCGCAGAGGCCTGCCTTTTATACGCGCCTCCGCCAATGAGCGCGCGCCCTCGCTTAGGCCCGCCCCGCCGGCCAATCGCCGCGCCCCTTGTGTAATCTTCGGCTCCTCGGCCGCTCTCGGCTATTTTCGTTGTTGCTGGCTTTTTTCAGGGGTTGCTCGCTCGCAGCCAGAGAAGCTGCTTTTTTTTTTTCCGGGTTCGGAGCCGTTCCGGATGCTTTAGGCTGCCGGATGTCTGATCTCCGGATAACTGAGGCGTTTCTGTACATGGATTATCTGGTAGGTGCGGGGCTGGCGTGGCGGGGCGCCCCTCGGACCCGGACGTGCCCGACGTCCCCCCCCCCAGCCTCGAGGAACACAGCCTTTCTGCTTTCTTTCTTCGGGATGGGATGCCTCTGGGGGGTCTTCTCCTCCCGCTGCCGGCGGGGCTGCTGCGCCGGGACGCGGAGGGGTGGCGGGGCCGCGGGCGCCGCGGGGGAGGTGGCAGTGACAGGTAAAGGTGCGAGCCGGGGCCAGCGCGCTGGGGCTGCCGGAGGGGATGGGGCCGCCGCGGCGGGGCGTCCCCGGCCCGCTCGGGCTCCCGGTTTCCCTCGGCGCAGCCCGCGCCGGACTTTCTTTGCACGCTCCCTTTAGCAGAACTCCAGGTACTATTAAAGAGCCATAACCGGAATGGCTTACTAAGTGCCCGGCAGCCCGGGTCATTTGGTTCTTATTAGATCTCTAAAGCAATGACCTCGGTCTCGGCGAGGCTTTAAAAGCACATTAACCATAAAGTCGACAGGACTAAACTGCATCCCAGCCCGGCCAGAGCCGGACTGGGTTAGGGGGCTGGCTCTGCCCCCACGGTGGCTCCGGTGGATGCATGCCACTTTTTACACTGTGCTCGGATTGGATCCCATGGTTATGCTTTTAGGCCAGTCTCGTGCCTCGGAAGTTTAGGTGGGGACAAGTGTCAGCGTAGTCCTCGGAACTGAACTTTTTTTTTTTTTTTTAAACGGACCTGTGTGTTTGTGGAATAATGCGAATACCACGTATTGTTCCAGAAATTGTGTTTACATGGAGCTGGGTGTTGGTGCTGGGGGCTCAGGAAGGGGTCTGCATTGGCGCTGGATGTCTTCACTGTGCTGACCGTGTGTGCTGGAACCGCTAGGACAATGCGGAGCTGAAGTTGATGGCGAAGAACACTGACTCTCCTGTCATCTTATTTATCAGTCGGTTTTCGACTGCAGATCTGCCTGGCAGAAATTTGCCAGTGCCTTCTAGGAATTACACTAAGGAAAGCCTGGATGGTGTCATGAAAAGGAAACTCTGGACAAGGACTGGCATTGTTATCTTGTTTTCGGCTTGACATTAGGTGAGAGAAATCTGTTTCCTGAAGCTTTATAGGTGGGTGAAGTCGGGCGGTTGCAGTTATTGCATCCTCTTGTGAATGAAAGAGTCCAAAATGCTGAGTTCAAATTGAATCTTATTCCCTTATTGACCACAGTAACTTCCTATATCTTGTGATACACGCATAATATCCACACACAAGAGCTGCTTGTCGTTTGGGGTAGGTATCTAATTATGAAAGTGATTTAAAATGCAAAGCACCATGCAGGTTAAGCCATGCCAAATGTTTCTCAAAGATTACTTTTAAAATTAATAATTCATACATTTGTAGCTTGTCTTATAAAATACAATACAATGGTTTTCTTCCAGATGCCCAAGTTAAAGCCAAAGGGTAATCACCACACAGAAAGGGATGGTATTACCTCTACTGTTGAAAGCTGAGTTTTGGATGCTGAAGCCATTGCTAGTGAGGAAATCAAGTGGTTTTGATCATTTTATTTTTTTCTGTATTTACTATGGCTGGAGTGATAGCATAGCGATAGGGCGTTCGCCTTACAAGCGGCCAACATGGCCAACCCGAGTTCGATTCCTCCACCCCTCTCGGAGAGCCCAGCAAGCTGCCGAGAGTATTCGATATGCCAAACACAGTAACAACAAAGTCTCCAATGGAGACGTTACTGGGCCCGCTCGAGCAAATCGACGATCAACGGGTGGGCCTTTACCTTTACCTTACCTTTACTGGGTATGCTTGAAATTTGTAAGTTGTATCACAAAACTTTTCTTGAAGTGCCAAACCCATCAAAACATTTTAGTAAAAAAAATAAAGAAAATGGTTAATTTTTAGATGGAGAGGCTAAGGGTGGGTGAGTGTTTGTCAGGTTTTAAGTTACCCTGAAAGCATACTGATATATTTCTGTTTTCTTTTGGAGGCTGGGTGTGTTCAGTTGAACCCAGGACTTCATACATATGAATCATGTGCTCTGCCACTATGCTAGCCAGACCCTGAAGCAAGGCAATTTGTCAATTTACTGGCCACCTAGTATTAAAATCTCTGGGCCTCTAATTTGACATGATCTATTATTTTTACTTGTCTTGACCCCGCATTATCTGCTTTTGCTTTCAAATTAAAAAATGATCATAATTTTGTCAGTCTAATTATGCCTTAAAAAAGTTTTAAAAAATCCACAAGTGCAGGGGATAGCTTAGAACATGCCTTGCATGCAGGAGGCCTCCGCTCAAACATGGTTCTTTCTACTCCCTCCCTCAGCTGGGTGTGGCTCTGGTGGCCTCTGAGCCAAAACACAGAAAAACACAAGTTCTCTGCCAAAGTCCTGTAAAGGGACTGGAGAGATAGTAGAGTGGTCAGGGCGCTTGCTTTGTATTTGCCAGAGCCGTTTTTATGCCTGGCTCCCATATATTCCCCTGACTGTGCCAGGAGTGATTTTTGAGTGCATAGCCAGGAGTAAGCCTTGAGCATCGCCAGGTGTGGCCCCAAAACAAAACGAAAAGCCCCCAAACTAAACAAAAGTCCTATGCAGATCACTTGCTGATCACTGGAGGTAAAGAAAAAAAATTTAATTGAAATAAGTTAGTTTTTAAGAACGTACCCAATATTCCCGGCGAAAAGTTTAAGAAATTTTTTAAATGATTTATTTACGGAAGCTGAACTTTAAATAATTTTTTTTGGTTGTTGTTTGTTTTGAGGAGGTGGGTTTGGGGCCACATGTGACACTGCTCAGTGTTTACTCCTGACTCTGAGCTCAGGGATCACTCTTGGTGACCAAAGTGATTGCTCAGAGCACCAAATTTGGTTCCTGGGATCCAACCAGGGTTGATCACATACCAGGCAAGTGCTCTATCTGCTGTACTATCGTTTTATCCCTGAAACTGAACTTTAAGAGACTTCCTGGTATTTATGTTATATGTCTCATTGCCTTCCAGATTGACCTGTTTGCTTATACCTAATCTTTATATGGTGTTTATTAAAGACCAGTTACTGAAAATCAAAGTCAGTTTGTTGACTCTGCCTGGGATCTTTTTTTATTTTATTACTACTTGCTGGTAGGGAGGGCTGGAGCCATACCACAGCCGGTAGGGAGTTTGCCTTGCACGGGCCAACCCAGGTTCAATTCCTCCATCCCTCTTGGAGGGCCCGGCAAGCTACCAAGAGTATCCCGCCCCCATGGCTGACTGTGGCAAGCTCCCTGTGGTGTATTTGATATGTCAAAATCAGTAATAAGTCTCACCATGGAGATGTTACTGTGCCCGCTCGAGCAAATCGATGAACAACGGGAGGACAGTGCTACAGTGCTTGGTGGTAGGGAGATGCTCCCAAGCTGTATTCGGGCACTCCCAGCTCTTCTTGGCCGGAGTTGGTCCTCTTGTGCATCTGAGACAGTGTGCAGGTGCTGCTTAGACCCAGCGTCCTGTGGGGGAGGCAGGAAACCCCGTAGGTCTATACCGGCTGATTCTCAGAGATCGAACTTGGGCCTCTACATGCCAGGCATGTGCTCCAGCCCTAGCCCTGGGATCTTATTTTCAAAATTAATCTCTTCTCATATTCCTTTGCTCACCTTCCAGGTTTTAAAAACAAATAAACAAACAAATAAATAAACAAACAAACCCACCCCCTAGATTCCCCCAAATAGGGCTCTTTTGTGTTGACTCCAGATTTTGCTGTGTTGGTTGGGGAAGCGCCCTCCGCATGCTTGGCAGGAGTGATGGTGTGCGCCCTCTTTTTGGATTTCTTTTGAATATTGGTGTTTCATTTTCTCGTTGCTGATGGAAGCTGGAAGAATGAGCTGTTTGTGTATTGTTCATTGTTCTTTGGATTAGATGTCTTCATGTACCTTTTTTTCCTTCTGTAATTTGGAGGAAAGTGGACAGGAAGGGAAAGAAAAGGTGGAGGTGCCATTTAGATTTTTTAATAACATTGTGATATTAAGGCAGATAAAAAAAGGTCTTTGATCTTAGAAGTTGCTGATGAGCCTGCTGTTGTGCATGAAGCTACAGCCTCACAGATGCTTATACGTCTTATAGAGCTACATCTCTGCCAGCTGAGAATTTCTTATTTGAAATTACAACTTAACTTCAAAGAAAGGTTTTTAATTGGAGGTGACAAATAAGGAGAAATGGAGGATATCAATATTTAAGATATGTGTTCCTAGAGCGAACAGACGCCATTGGGCTACACTAGCACGCGACAGGGACAAATGGAGATGTTACTGGCGCCCGCTCGATTAACGGGAAGTCAAGTGATCAAGTGATATATAGATATACCTTAATATTTAAGATATATATAGATATACCTTAATATTTAAGATATATATAGATATACCTTAATATTTAAGATATATATATAGATATACCTTAATATTTAAGATATATCTATATCTATCTATCTACCTATATATACATACATTTATTTATATCGATCCTCTGGGCTTACTCTCTGCTCTGTGCTTGGGATTGAACCTAGGTTGACCACGTGCAAGGAAAATGCCCTATCTGCTTTATTACCTCTCTCAAGACAAATTATTTTGGTGGGGTCACACTCAGCGATAGTTAGGGGTTACTCCTGGCTTTGCACTGAGGAGTCAGTCCTGGTGGTGCTCAGGGAACCATATGGGGTGCTGGGGATTGAACCTAAGTTGGCCGCATGCAAAGCAAGTGTCTTACCCACTGTACTATCTCTCCAGCCCCCTCAAGACAGATTTTAAAGTTGAGTTGATTTCAGTTTGAGGAAATGGTGGTAATTTGCTTATGCTGCATAATTACAAGTATCACTTAACCAGGTGTTTGACTTGGTAACCTGGCATCTAGTAGGACTCAATATTAATTTGTTGAGTTAAATGAAGAGGAGTTGAATGGGACAATTCTTTTTTCTCACTCGCTTCTGCATTTGAGACTAGATAAAATCTGTTTGGATTAGGTGTTTTGTTCTGGGGAAT